AAAGCATAATGAAAAGATATTGGCAGACGCTTCGTCCAGTATAAAAAACCGTCACTCTTTTGAGTCTAAAAGGGACACAGATTCTAAGAATTCAATCGGTGTCCCTCGGATTATCCTCAAGGATATTAAACATATATCATATGTGCAATCCTTGGATTCACAGTTTTGGTATAGAACCAACAGTTCATACTAAAATTGAAGGAAAGTAAAGTTTGTACTAAAGATATATTTGAACGATTTCTTTTCCGATCCCATGTGCTCTATTTACAAAATGTTCTGTCAAAAGCTGTAAAACCTGTGATGTTTTGATTACAAGCTCTTACTAGTAATCTTACTGGACAGAGCTTCTATAACAAAAGTGGGAAAATCTGAATTGCAAATCTTCTTATGTTGTCTTCGGAATAGAATGTAACCTTTGTGGGCTTAATTATTTTGGTGAAACCAAGGGTTCACTTAATAAAAGAAGATCGAGGAATAGATTTCAAATTAACAACGGGGGCCAGCAGCTTCTATATAAGTATTTTAATTTACCTGGCCCCAGGATCATGAAGCATCTTAAGCTTAAGACAAAATTTTTATGTTGTGCTAAAATATTGTAGAAGTCAAGCAGACCAAACTTAAACTAATTTTCAGTACTGCTTTACAAAAGTGTTTTTTATCTGCAAATTTAGAGATTAATTCAATAATTATTAAACATTTTAAAGGCAATAGGAAATTTGACTTAAGCCTAAGCCTATTTCATGATCCGGGGCCTAATCATTCTATCTTGTCAATGAAAGTTAGAATTCTAGAAAAGATTTTACCATCATGCTAATAGTCCATCACTGAGTACACCTTTCCGTAAACAACGAGAAGAATCTTGGATTAGAAAACTAGGCACGGCCTTTCCACATGGTAGCAATGACAATGTCGATAGTGTTGGGAATCTTTCAAGCCCACAGTGTAGCAATGTGAATGTGATGGGACTTTCTAACAGTACACAGAGACGTCAACGCAGTCATGGACATGGACCGGTCTTACAATAAACTTACCATACACGACGTCTCCTTTTATTCACTACCACCTTTTGTAAGTAAAAAGTTTGACCTTCATTACATTTGCACCGAACCTTACTTTGTCTCTTTGATAGTTTTATATAATTCATATCTTCATATTTCACGTAAACGTCAAGGAAAGTCCATATTTGGATTCTTGACACAAGAATACAGGTTCGGATCTCTGATAATACATATTGCAAATCATAGGCTCTTTAAACTGCCAAGTTTCGCGGAAGAAAATACCGCTCAAACACCCGTTCAATATACCAACAGAGGAATAAATTATTTCATGGCAACCCTAGCAAAAATTTGATCGCTAATAAACTATACTAAGCTACAGATTACTATTGTACAGATACTTTAATACTTTGATACCTTGATTTACTATAATACTATAATACTTTGATTTACTCTCTCTCTCTCTCTCTCTCTCTCTCTCTCTCTCTCTCTCTCTCTATATATATATATATATATATATATATATATATATATATATATATATATATTGAACCAATGATTATTACATGCTCAGTCCTTTATACAGTGAATATAGCTCATAGGATATCGTTTTCACATCCATGGTTGTGACGTCACAATAGTTTTTGCGTGAATTTGATCAAGTACTTTTATAAACATCTACTTTAGTTAGTTTTATGGCTAAATTATTTATAAGCATATTGAATAATAGATTGTTGCATTAGAACAAAGAATATAACATAATTACAGATGTACAATTTGGATTCAAGCCATGTGTAAGTACCAATGATGCAATATTTGTTCTACAGATGCTAGTAAACAAATATTTAAGGAATAAAAGAAAACTTTATTGTTGTTTCGTGGATTATCAAAAAGTCTTCGATTATATCAATAAACTTAACTTTTGGCTTAAAATTAGTTCACTGGGTATTCCAGGGAAATTATTTTATATTATCAAGTCTTTATATGATAATATCAAGGCATGTGTAAAATATAATGGTTTACTTACAAAGTATTTAAAATTACGTCTGGCGTGTTACAAGAAGAAATTTTATTACATTGTTATTTTCTATGCATTTGAATGACTTTGAACATCACTTCACTTTATCACACATAATTGTCCATCAATCGAGCTTCAGATAATAAATATATTTTTGGTGATGAATGCAGATGATACTATTTTGATATCTGATTCTGCTTATGGTTTACAAAGAATGTTGAATGCATTATAAACATACACCATGGAGTGGATTTTAACTATAAATCATAAAAAAAAATATTTATTTTTCGCAATAGTCGTAAAATCCTTGAAAATTAACGTTGGATTTACAACGGCTGCATTGTAGAAGTTGTTAATCAATTTAATTATCTTGGAATGTTGTTCAATTATAATGGTAAATTTGAAGAAACACAGAAACATTTTTTATGTCAGGGTAAAAATGCTATGTATGGTGTAATTAGTAAAACCGGGGATTTGCATTTTAACGTAGAAACACAATTAGCAGTATTCAATACCAATACTAAAAGTGTAATGAGTTATGGAGCTGACGTATGGGGATTTCACAAGGGTCAAGACATAGAAAATGTTAACTTAAAGTTATTGTAAAAGAGTTTAAAAGGTCAGACAAAGCTACAGTAATGATACAGTATATTGTGAATTGGGTAGATTCCCATTTATACTTGAAAGGAAAAAGAAAATTTTGAAATACTGGGAAAATTAAAAAAACAGTGTTAATTGTATTTTGCAATTCATGTTATCAAGATATGGTTGAAAATAATGATGATTGGATTGTAAACATTAAGAAGGAGTTTCAAAGACTTGGTTAAACTGACATGCATAATAGCAATTGTATTAATAATAATTCTTTGAACATTGTTTTTCAAAGTATGTATGACGGTTATAAACAAGATATTATGTCAAGAATTTGTAATTCACCTAAATATTTTTATACCAACACTTAGTACTACAGAAGTATTTAAGAGAACCATTACTTTTAAAGTACAGAATACCTTTTAGTCGTTTAAGACTATCAGCGCATGATTTAAAAATAGAGAGGGGGAGGTATAGTAACATAGAAAGAAAAGAGAGAAAATGTGAAATATGTATATCAGATGAGATAGAGGACGAATTTCACTTTGTATTAAAATGTCCTCAATGTCAAGAACTAAGAATTAAATATATCGCGAGTTATTATTTTAAAAAAAAAAATGAGTGTTTAAATTAGTACAGTTACTGAGTTCCACAAAAGCTAAAAAAAAACTATTTAACCTAGGTAAATTTCTGTATTTTTCTTATCAATTAAGAAATGAAGTTTTAAATAATGTACAATATGAAATGATAAAACAGTAAGTGCTATTGTTTATGTAATTGCTAATGTATATTGTATAGCATATACTATACTTATCCTGATCAAATCTTATTTGTAAATATTTATGTACATATTTGTATAATTATGAGATGTAATGTCTCTGGTTCAAATAAAACATAAAACAAAAAAAAAATCTATTTTTATTTTTTAAAAAAAGTTATGACTAAAAAAGTTTTAATGGCTTTCTTAACTTAATCTGAATTTTCATTTACCGTGTAAGAAAATCTTACCATGCATATAGAGTCTGCTATATGTAGTTTCTCTAATCATTGAAATAATGTTTAAAACTTAAAAAATGAAAACTTTATAAATATTTATATCTATAATTATTAGATTTTGAAAGGATACTTTCAGAATAAAATAAAGTAGAAGAATTCATATATATACTATAAAGCTAAAGGTTCATATATCAACTATAAAGCTAAGGGTTCATATATATATCTACTATAAAGCTAAGGGTTGGAAGAAATAAAACCAATAAAACAATAAATATTTGCTTATATCCCTGATATTAAAACTTATAAGATTAAGACCAAATACAATGACATATAGTTTTATTTTGGACCCCCTATTCATAATACTGGTAACAAAAATTAATGCACAAAAATACTGGAGAAAGTTTTTTTTATCTTTTCCATCGTTTTAATCACTTAGATAGGCTTTCACATCTGCTTCAAAGAAGCTGGATATTTCTGTCACATTTCTCCTAGGAATACCAGGGATTAATTATTTCAGCAGTTTCTTAGTAGAATGGAAATGATTTTATGTAATTTCATTGAACGAAACATTTCAGAATATGTGTAGATATATAATAAAACAATAAAAACAAAGGGCAATAATTCAGTTATCTTCTAATTTTGAAAGGGGCAAAAATTCTACCATGGTGAAAATTATTCTGTTCAAGATGACTTAATATTGATTATTCTTGTCTAATAAAACGACACATTTCTTCATTCTGTTTAAGTGTCTTTGTATTTTATGTGTTAACATTTTAACAACCAGCCTATTTGTATTCACAAGGTTTGTATTTATTTCACATTTTACCAATGGCGGAAAAAATCATTCACGCGAAGCTTTGTTTACATTGCAATTGAGAGGTAGCAGCCATTTTTTTTTCTACAAATGAAAATTTAATTAATATCCCGTGGACGAATTCACACTGCGAAGAGATTTTCTGTAGTTGAGTGCTCTGTAGACTAAATCCTGATAATTTGTCCAAATAAAATCGGTTTTTATAGTAGACGCCATTATTAAATCACACTGTGTGTAAACCAGGACGTTTTTGTTTTTCAGTTGAAATCATAGTTTATAAATAGTTTTCGTCAGTGTTTATAGAACGTAAATTCATTACACGGCCCTTTATGAATTACATGCTCATTTCCTTTTCTTGAAATTTATGAAAGCTCAAAAGAAATCGAAAAGGAAGGTCAACGTACCAAAAAAATTTACACATTCATCGGACACTTCAGACTTCAGAAAGTCAACGAATGAAAATTTTAAATTATAGTGGTATGATGTGTACGCATTCTTATCATAATTCAATGATGTAGATTATTATTGTCAAAATATAATTTCGATGCCTATGAATGACCTTTTGCATAGTTTTTAGACAGTGATGATGGTTTGGATTTGGGTTTCAAGCATTATTGTATGGATTGTGCATGTGGAAAGCCTAACGGGTACCTCTGGTAAGTATATGTTACATCTATATATGTAATCGTTCTGAGAATAGAGTGAAATATCATAGTGATCTAATTTTTTTCTAGATTCATCATTTTTTTTATTGTATTTCAGTTTCCTTCTCGGATTTAACATGCGCTTTGGGTTCTACATTTTATACCGTTTACTCCAATGATGATTATCACCTCTCCTGGGACGGTTCCTTCCTATCAAAAACTGGAGGATGCAAGATAACGTTCGACCCAATGGAGGCGTTAAGTAAAGTGTGTGTGGAAGTGGAAACTTTTGACGTACGAGACTGCAGTGTGAATGTTTATTACATCGATGAAGGCGATTTGAAGAGGGTAACATAAAAGCTATATATCATCTCACTGAAAACCTCCAGAATAGTACAGCTATAAAAAAGTCTGTATAAATTGTTTTTAAAGGTTTCGTTCTTTAAATTACTTCATAATTTACTTTTTTAAAAAATACTTGCTCTTATTCCTTTGGACATATGGATGAAGTCGAACACCAAAGAAGTTTTGTGGATCTCAAAATGCGGATGTCGATGTAGAACTATCCATTCCTAGGACCCTTAGTAGTTCATCAAACTCATTTCGGCTGATATGCATATAAACAATATGAACCTAAACATTAAGACTGTAAGTGGCTTAATTTTTATAATTTTCCTTTTCACTGATAGTCTATGTATATAATTAATACAAGCTTTAAAAAATCGGCAACTGTACTTGTAAGTGTCATATTTAAATATGCCGACTCTTATTTAATAAGAGAACTATAAAAATGTTCTCTGAAATTGATTTCCATGACAAAAGAAAACTTCATATCTCTAAGGAGGACAGTAATTAATGATTTCAAAATATTAACATTCGTTGAAAAGTCTAAGACACAGTCTTTGACTAATAAACCGTAAAGGTAAGAAATAAACATAATTCATAATCATACTGAATATCTTCTTTATCGTGATTTGTCACCATGGACATTTAAAATCAATTAAATTATTCTTTACTGAGAAATGAAAAAAATGCATTTAATGTACAACAGTATTTTGCTAATTTTTTGAACATAAATGAATCAATAAATCAGTCCCATGTCTTATCAGTACCCAAATCTAGGTTGAGATATATACATCAATTAAAAATCCAGCCCCATATAACACTCTAAATTATTATTTATACAAAGGCTTTGTCTGTAAATACAGTCTATTAAGAGGTCGAATATTGACTGGCGTGTTAGGCCATTTTTTTTCAAACTGTGTTGTCTACAGATTTTCCACTAAATCAATTATGACAGGGGCATACGGCGGGTTTGACAAATAAATATGGGAGGCTCAATACTCCATGGCTCCTGATTCCACATCTGTTTTCAGAAGCCCGTGTTTGCTCTGCTCAAAAGTGTATTGTTAAATTGGAATTTTTAGCATGAAAAGTATTACTTATTTTCACATTTTGGTATATGAATTGTAAACTTAAACAAAAATGAATGCAAAGTAATACAAAATTATGTAATTTCTTTCAGATATGTGGATTATAGGTCTAATTTCTGTAGTATCGGTCACTGCCTTAATAGCCGTGACAGTTGTTTTGATTTGTCGAAGAAGAAGAACTCCAGGATTAGTGTTTCAGAGGTCAGAAATCCCGCACACACGACTGGTCAACACAACTTCTTCCGGTATTGTAAAATTATCCTTATTTTACTATGAATTTGACTTAAAATAATCAATTTGCTGTAAGTTAACGTCAAAGCTCTCAAATTAAATCTACAATGAGATCAAAAATTAAAAATAATCTGGCTGCTCCAATATTTCAGAAAACAAAGTATTAAAGTTACAATTATTGACAAAATAAATGAAATGAATTTACCAAGTTTCATTTATAACATACAGTTAGCAGTAAAGTTTCACCTGGCCACTTTGAACTTATATGTATATAGTCAAAAGCTTTTCAGAGATTTTCGATGTGTTAGTCCAAATTTTGATGAATATAATTTAATATATCTACAATCGTTCTGACTAATGTAATTGCTGTAGTAAAGAAATCTTTTTAAATAAATAGAAGGAAAATAAATATATTAAATACAACATTTTGTAGATTTAAGAAATGATTTCTTTTCAGAGCCTTCTCCAATGAGCTTTGACCCTCCGCCTCCCTATCCTACAAACGAAACAATGGCCACAGAATACCAATTTATCGTTCCTGTCATTGTGAATACACGATAGAATATTTTGAAAAATATGTGAAGATTATAATTTTAAAGAGCAACCATTATTGTTATATTTGCTTTATCTACTGTTTTATTTAAAATATCATACAACATTGAGGTCGTGCATAAGAAATACCATCATAAGCATGAAACTCTTTAAATATTCATGTATATGTTGCTGAAAATATTTTAACATTAGCAACATTGAGTTACGCAAAGTAATGTTTGTCGCATGTCATGGCCATATTAAATAATATTGTTCCTCGTATAATTTAATGCATTTCAATAATAAATTTTGTTATTGTTTTTGCTGTTATTTTATTTGCTTAATTCCTTTCGAAAATATTTCATTCAAATTAGGAAGCAATCTATTGCCATAGTATGCTTAAGATTCAGATTTTTACTCGGTACTTACTCATGGCCATTAAGCAGTTAGGAATCTTTTTTAGCCAACAACTACTGTAACTTGGAATCTCAGTTCATACGGTCTCATCGTTAGGATTCGAATCAGCAACATAAGGATTTACTCTGCAACTCTAGAACAGTGAGACCTTGCATGAAACTACAGTGTAGTATTATTAGTACATTTAAGTCAATGATGTATTTTCTAAACACTTAAAAATGGACAAATTATCTACCATTGTTGTAGTTTTGTTATTCAAGTCGAAAATGAATGATAATGCTATTTGAAATTGTGAACGATAATTTGATACTATATATATTTATTCATAAAGATTAAACAGTATTTAAATAACATCTATACATACCTGCATATCATTTCTAAATTCTATCATACGCAATCGAATTTCATAAGAAAAAATACATTAAAATTGAAACTCGTAATGACATCCTATGATTTTCTCATTTAATTCCTCGAGAATTGATAGAAACACTTGAAATATAAATGTGTCCTTTCATACCTTATATTCTTGTATAAAACATTATATCAAAAAACAACAGGGTTATCATATATGATTCGGCCATTTTGCGAACAGTTTTATGCTGTATATAATTTATTTCCGGGTATGATACTTTATATTGGATATTCTTAGAAGCAGATATCTATATAGATGGTATAGGAAACAAAGGCATTCCCAATGCAGAAAAGGAGACTTTCTAAGTTTATAGTTCAAAGTCTCACAGCTAGGATGGGATTTATAAAGAGTGTGTAAGCTTTCTCAAAGAATATGATAAATATTTAAACCTCCAAGCCTGAGTTAGGAATGTAATTCTGAGTGAAGATTCAAGTTTAAACTCATGTCCTCTGTATTTTTGTAAAAGTACGATTAATAGTGTGCGCTAGTAGACACATTCTACCTTTTGAGGCATTTAATTAATATCTTTTATTAGACTGAAATGTAAAATATATAATGAAAATATTCTATCCGTACAATGAATCCTTTGAATACTAGTATGTAAAATAAGTAGGGATGTCAATTTCTTTAATAATTCCTATTTGAATATTCAATGGAAGTATTCGAATATATTCGAATATTCGATAAAATAAATAAAATCTCGTTTATTTTACATGTACATCATCATACTCTCATGGCAGGTTTTGGGACAATATTTGGAAGTAAAATTGGATGTAGACTTTTGTAGGTGTACAATAAGGAATTCTACGTTTGATATTTGTCTATGTTTGAAATAAATAAATAAATAATTGACTTAAGTGTATACAGCCGAAATATTATTGTAACAAACGAAATCTATACAAGTTCAAACTGACGAACCAGCCGTCTATCCAGGGACATGATTGTCGTTTACTCTTTAGATTTAAATACATGGAATTAATTTCAATTTTCTGCTAATGAGAGATATAATCTTTGATACACTGTTTTGAAAATATAAATAAAACTTCCATAGACAATTTTGTTAGGTTATTAATTTCCCGATAATGATAAAGTATATGTTTGTTGAATTGTAGAATGTGCATGACCTCGACGTTTCGGATTATAAGCATCGTGCTTATGTCTGCACTACAATAAAACAAATAACTATTGTAAACAGCTTCAAATCTGATATTGATATCTTCTTTAGCTTGTTTAATCTCTCTCTCTCTCTCTCTCTCTCTCTCTCTCTCTCTCTCTCTCTCAGTATATTATCTCAGTTCAATTTTCTTTATTTTATATTTCAGTATTTGTTTCGAATTTGACATGTGAACCAAATTCATTATACCACTCCGTTGACAAAGGCTATAACTACTATCTTATCTGGAATGGAACATACTTGCCAGCTGTCAATAAAGGATGCAAGATGATGTTTGAACCAGAATTAGATAGTAAAATCTGTGTAGACGTTATTGAGTTTAACATAGAGGAATGTGGCATATGCGTTAACTACTATGATGAATGGTTCTTAGACAGAGTGAGATATCAGAGATATACGATAAAAATAATCTACAAATAACAGGAAATTTTCAGACGAGGTTTTCTTTTGCGATAAATTGAAGGAAAGTATCCATAGATCTGTTTTATGTACTTTTAAAAAATCATTTAATCTTTATTAAAATGTTTTATGCGTTCGTGTTATTTAAGAGTTATGGATGTAAGGTCACTCCCTCAAAGTATTGAAAAAGTTTTGGAGAAATATATGTAGAACTATTAAATGGTAAAGTTGCTGACAAGACTCCGAAAAAGGAACATTAAGTACTTTTCGGTTGAAAATATACGCTCAGAAAGACACTGTTTACAAGGACAAAGATAATCATAACAGTTCTAGTAAGTATACATGTAGATTCATTTTTCTATTGCTCTAATTTTTATTTAAATGTTTTTTAGGCAGCGTGCTGTTGCAATGAATATATAAGGAATTATTGTCCAGTTTGTTGAAACGTTTTGGATAAATTGTCCAGCGTTTCCATCTGTCGTTAATGTCCCTGGCATACCCATCAAATTCGACAGTGATTCCTTATTTACATTTATATGTGAATTGAAAATGTGAATATAAATTACTAGACTAATTGTTCACAGAACAATTAGAGGTCTTTCACCTCCTAAAAATTAAACTAATTCTTAACATTTCACTCTCTATAGCTAAATTTCATGAAAAAAAAATCAGAAATTGCTGAAAAAAATGATAATTTAAAAATTAAGTGACGTTTACGTATGACTGTGAACAAATCTTCAAGATCAAAGGTCAAGGATCGCATTGCAATTTGTCCCATGTTACTATGACTCTTAGTTTTTAAGTTATAGGGTTAAATAGTAAGTGCAAAGATCTAAAAGGGCAATAACTCATATAAGGGGTCATCAGGTCCTTTCGCACCGAATAGACTGAAGTTGTGTCTTAACTTAAGGTACTTAACCTTTCACTAGTTTTACTTTGTTCTAGTAGCCAAAATGGTTTCAAAATGAATGCTTGAAATACGTCCCTTTCCCTTGGCACCACTTGGTGGTACCACTACAGCCCCATTCTGATAGCGGGAAATGATAGTCCTTGGGGTCTTCTACCTTGCCCCAGTAATGATTTGAAGCACACTTCAAAGATAAGGGGCATAATAGCTGACCTTTAACCCGTCTATCATAGAAAAAGTGAAAAACAACAAAGTTCAGGTTAGCTAACTGGCCCTTTCTCTTCCCCGGGACTCTTCAAAAAGCTGGCAAGGGATTCTCCCTTAGGTCTTAAACCTTTAACTTGTGTAAGTTTGTTCTAGTAGCTAAAGATGGTTTCAAAATGAATTTTTGAAATACGTCCCCCACCCTTGGCACCACTTGGTGGTACCACTACAGCCCCATTTGATAGCGGGAGATGATAGTCCTAGGGACTCTCTACCTTACGCCAGTAATGATTTGAAGCACACTTCAAAGATAAGGGTATAACAGCTGACCTTTAACCCGTATATCAATAGACAATGTGAAAAACAACAAAGTTCAAGTTAGCTTACTGACCTTTTCCTGTCATTTGAACCTGTCAAAAAGTTGACTAGGGATACTACCTAAAACCCTTAACTTTTTTCCAGTGTAAGTTTGTTCTAGTGGTCAATGATGGCTGAAAAATGAATGCTTGAAATATGTTCACCACCCTTGGCAACATTTGGTGGTACAACTTCAGCCTCATTCCGATTTCGGGAAATGATAGTCCTAGAAATCTTCCATCTTGCCACAGTAATAATTTAAAGCACACTTCTAAAATAAGAGGTATAATAGCTTCTTGAAATATGTAACCTGTCCTTGGCACCACTTGGTGGTACCACTTCAGCCTAATGTTATGGCCGTATATAACCCTATGGACCCTTTACCTTGTACCAGTTCGAAGCACACTTCAAGGATAATAACTTAAAATGGATTAAATTACCTTCAAACCCTTATCAATGTACAATATTAGGAGTAAGCAAATTTCAGGTTAGCCTATTGGCACCGTCATGTTCCTAAAACCCGTCAAAGAGCTTAAAAGGGATTCTCCCGGAAGTACGTAACTTATTTCCAAGGTAGGTTTGTTCTTAAGCGGTCAAAGATTTTTTTTTTTTTTTTTTTTTTTTTTGAAACTGCATAATTTTCCTTATGCAAGTGAGCTTAACTGCCTCCATGTGTTTGAATTATTAAATAATTAAGTGTTGCATTAATTATCTAATTATTAATTATAAATTGTCGAAAATGAAGTATTAAACAGTATTGCGTCAGAGTACTCTCAGTCCTTTGATGTATTTCCTTATTTGCTGCTAGCTTCTACGGGCTTAGTGGCTGCTGTTATTAGCTGCTAGCTTCAGTCTATTGTTTATTTTTGGTGCTTCTAAACATGTAAAATGTAGATATAAGGAATGGAGTTTTTAAAGGGTCCTCCACACCCCGTGACTTGTGACGTATATCGAGAAAAAATACTATTACTTCCGGTTTTATATAGTTTATGCACTGACGATTTGCCTGGCACCGCCAGTAAGAGAGTCTTTGAAACGTTTTAGAGATAAAGGTTTGTCAAGGGAAAAGTATGTAGTAAACTGAAAGCGACACCCTAATCATAAACAATGAACACATAGCATAGCCATTCCAGCGAACGCCATTTTATCTAAATATAGTAACCAACCGGAAGGCAGCAGGCATCCATGTTATCACGTTTGTGAAAGATGACCGTAGCTGAGGGTAGAGGTAAGTAAGTTATTGGCTGTAGGTATAATACATATCTGTGACATCGCATTTAGTTTTATTTCACATTTGTTATGATGATTTATTCTTGAAATGGCGATCGTAGTGTTTAAGTTTTAGAAAATGCAACACGACTGCTTGCAAACAGTTTGACATATTTTGTATTTTTGGTGTTTGTGTCTATAAAGCTTACATTAAGGAAGATTAAGTAGTGTAGAGTGATTGTCCATTACCTATTCTTTATTATTGATGTAATTAAAAAATTATTTCACGTCTCACTTTTTGTCACACTTTATAAAACTCGGATCAACTGTTTGACAATCGAAGATACTGTAAGTAAATTACCTGCCCTTGTTATAGTTTACTTCACAAAACTGAAGTGTCAATTTGCATACATATACATGATGCAAATATACATATTTCATTTAATTTATTAATTATATTTTGTCTTCAAACCTACCTTTCGATGTAGGCCCAATGGCTTAAACAATTAAACAGAATTTTATTGTGAATTTTGCATAAATATGTCAAATATCAGATTTACAGTAAAAATGCTATTATTAATATTTATATTTACAGGTCTGAAATTAAAATTAACAGTTACAAGAGTGAAATATCAACAAAAAGATTATCCATATTGAGGTAAATATACTTTAAACTTAATTGTTATGTGTGCTTCTGTTTTGTTTATGTGTTGTAAAATGTAAACATGGTATAAATGTATCTGTTTCTGTGAAATAGTTATATATACATGTAGCACATATACATTTCCCCTTTTTTATTTCATCTATCATTTATTTTACCTATTTATATTTTATTTCATCTGTCATTTATTTTCAATTTCTTTCAATTTTTTTCTGTTTCTGTCATTTTATTTTTTGTTATATTTATTTCATTTCTTCTTTTATTTCAATTTTATTTTCATTTCATTTCTACACAGCATATATGGTAATCATTAACATTAGTTAGCTCACTATTTTTCACTCTATACCTGTTAATTTATGATCATGGAGGTTCTTTCCATTAACATTAAAGAAATATACGACAAACATAAGGGCAGTCCTGATTATATACAGAAAATTCACAAAAACATTTGCACTGCGCTTCGTGTTCCTTCTTCTGAAATAAGTAAATTTGCCCTACTTTGGAAAGTTAAAAAAATAGTCAAAGAAATAGAGCGTTTGAATAAATACACCAACAAGGAGAAATATGCTGCATATTGCAAGAAGAAATTTCAATTACCAAATTCAACAAAACAAAAGAAGACCAAAGAAGACACCATTAAGAAACCCAAAGAAGACAGTATTACTTATCCAGAATAACAGGCCAAAATAAATGAACAAGAAATAACAATTTTACATTTAAAGAGGGAGAATTCCGCATTGAAAGACCGTTTAAGGGGAATAAACATTAGCAACATTAATAGAAATTTGAAAAGGAAAAAAGAGAGAATTGAAATTTAAAAAAAAAAAAGAAGTGGAAGTTTAACAGCAGAATGAAAAAATAAAAAATAAAAAAATACAAAAGAAAATGGTGTACAGTGTAACACTTTTAAAACATATATAAAAACATTTAAAAAAAAAAATGGATGTTTTGTTGTCAGAAAAAGAGAATGTTGAAGACAATTCCAATGATGTTGTACAAATAGAAAAAAAATTAGATTTTCAAGAGATGTCAAAAGGAAAGCCTTTTAATTTTAAATTAAGGAATTTGTATTATATTTTTAGAAGCCACAATGTTGGCATTGTACATATATTTTCTATTTTTATATGGCAAAGAATTCATTATAATTTCTCTTTTAACCAGGATAAGAACAGGCACTAATTTTGATATTTTGCGTTACAGGTGCTGTACTGGAGGGATAAGGAAAGAAAAGAAAGTGATGTTTATGATTTGACTGAAAGGGAGATTAACACAGACATAAAAGAGGGCTTTCTATTTATCAATGGTAATGCAATTGCACAATTTGTAAAAATATTATTGTTATACTTCTCATACTGTTACATTAGATTACTTTAATGTAAGTATAAAGAATTTTTATTTTTTAAATACATGTGTATATATTTGTTTTCAGACACAACCAAATTTGACCACTGTTACGCAGCTTCTTGACCACATTTTCAGTCAGTGTGGATTGCAATGCTATACTCAACAGGTCAGACAACAATTAAAATACAACTTACAGATACCACAATTTGAGAAAAAGACTATAGGAGGTATGAAGTAAGAGTTATCTTTCATTTATGAGAGTTACCTTTTATTAATCCTTCAATAATGAGATGAGTTACTGCCCTTTGCAGCCAACTTCCAATTCAGCAAGAGGTCATCAGTATTAATTTGAATAACAATGAGAAGGATAACCAATAAAATTTCTTTTATTTATAACTAAGTTCTGCAGTTAAGGACCTATTGCATTTTATTATACTACCCTTATTTTATATTTAAATTTTAGGTGGAATAGCTACATGGCATGATCACGGATTGACCGATAGAAAAAGATTTCCATTGTTTTTAAATAGAAGGACAACAGCCCTTTGGGTGTATGTTGCATTATAACAGGTACCGGTATAACGAAAAAAGTTAAAGGTTATTTATACTTTTAGGCTAATAAACCCTTTGCCATATCATCAACAAAGTTTGTGTTGAAAGTTGATAGGTATGCGTTTCAGTAACACATATCTCATTGTGTGTTTATAAATTTTGATAAATAGTGTGCATTTCTAGTTTTGCTCATTTTTATCTGTCCAGTTCAGTAGTTAATAATGAGTAGCTTGAGTATCATGACGTATGCGGAGACTTACCAAAGTTTTTGAGTCCCGGGCAACAGGAAAGATAACTCTAAAAAGGAACTTTGATACCAAAGATTTTGAAAATAATTTTTCTACATCAGTGAATTTGATTTTAATTCAATTTGTTGTTGTAATTTAATTCATTAATGTTTCTTCTTTACTATCAGGAGTCTTCTTTAATTTTTTCTAGATGCATTTTGGAGAAAATGAGTTTTATTTATTTTTTATAACTTAAATTAATTTCTTAAAAAATATGTATACCGATAGAATTAAGTTTTTGTGGTTATTTGTGAGCTGAATAATATACGATAGGAAAAATCGAGATTTGTTGTGCTACGTGTGAAAACTTCATGGTTAAAATGTCTTGAACCTTATGAAATTAATTTTTTTTTTTTAAAAAAATCAGTATAAATTATGTTACTATTCCTGGCCAGTTTTTAAAGGCTGATATGCTTGTTAAAAGTAATGCTCGATAATATGAAAACAAAAGCTGGGGGTGTGTGGAGGACCCTTAAGTTTAGTGTGAATTATTGGTGTGTAAATCACACAAACTTGTCGCGTAGGCATATTTTTCTTGAAGCGCTTTAGCACCTGGCATGACAAATTATCATACCACGCTAAAGCGCAGTATTCAATTTGTCGGCAAGGTGTGATATAGGACCGACGACATCCTAAAATAAGAATTCAAATTCAATGCTTAGATGAAGTAGGCAAAAGAAGACACTTATTGTGTCTTGTAAAATTTTGAAAACAAAGGTAAAAAATCTTAAGCAAGATTCATGTAATTCATTTTCAATGTCGTAGTTTTATAGAATGAATATCAAGGGATTTAAATTGTTTACAGACATGTCACGATAGATCTATCAATTTGCATAGTTATAGTACATTAAATCTATCATGCGTAGCTTTGTTTACAGTGCATCCGAGAGATCGCAGCCATTTTCGTTAAAGTACGAAGTAAAGTATGGGCATTGTCGTGCTATTATTTTACTATAATTTACTATAATTATTATTTCTGTAAGGTGAGTAATCTTTTTGAATTTGATATCATAATGTATCCAAAATATCCAATAGGTAGGCTATGGTTGATATATGTTATTTATATATTTATTTGACCAATCTCTTATTATTTATAAAATTATCACAAATCAGGAATTATGTTTTTAAGGATTTCAATGAATTAATTTTACACGATACATTAAAAGAATACATAAAAGCAACCTCTTGGAAAGGTTGATAGATCTATAAAAATAATATTTGGAATGCTAATGACGTAATCAAAATCTTGCCTTCACAAACAATCTTCTTTAACCAACCCAATTTAATTAATTTTTGCATAGTACTAATAAAGTGTATAAGTGTTCAGTGCATGGCATTGATACCATTTAACTGTGTTTATTTATCAAAGAGTTTTTTTTTGGTAGTGCATGTTTGCGTGAACGACGATGCTTGGAATTTTAAATCTTGTGTTAATGTTGTCTTCTCTTGCGGATAGTACGAACAATCAAACATGTAAGTGTTAAATTTTTGAAAGTTTGCTGTAGATAAATAAAGTCTATTATATTTATAGCTTTCTCGCAATATTTAGTCCATTTGCAAATTTTTTTGTTATTTCAGTGTTTTTTTCGGATTCCTTATGTTCCACATATTATTTAGTCAACAATGATGTCAAATATTACCTTACATGGAACGGAACATTACCTCATGCTTCTAACGGATGCAAGATAACTTTTCATCCACAGGAATTACTAAGTGTCTGTGTCGTCATGAATTTTTTCCAACTAGAAGACTGCAGTGTTCAAGTTAATTTTTATGGAAAAACAGAGAAGGCAGCTAATATTTTTTTTTTATGTTCAGAAAATTGATTATTCCAAAAAGAAATGCTAATTATTTTTGTGATAAAATTGTTTTGGTTTTTTACGGTATTCATGATAAGGTTCATTGTTAGCTCAGCTGAGCCGAAGGCTCAAGCGAGCTTTTCTGATCTCACTTTGTCCGTCGTCCTTCTGTCCGTCTATCTGTACGTATATCTGTCTGTCCGTCTGTATGTCTGTCTGCAAACTTTTCACATTTTCGAGTTCTTCTTAAGAACCACTAGCCCAGTTTCAATCAAACTTGCCACAAAGCATCCTTAGGTGAAGGGAATTTAGGTTTGTTGACTAGAAGTGCCACGCTCTCTCTCAAGAAGAGAAAATTTAGAATTCGTGAAAATTTGGTGCATCTTTTAAAAATCGTCATCTCAAGAACTATTTGACTAGAAACGATGACACTTTATTACATACTGTAGTCTTATTTGTACATATCATGACCCCCGGGGGTAGGGCGGGCCACAAAAGGGTTCAATGTTTTACATAGGGAAATATAGAAAATATCTTCAAAAATCGTCTTTTCAAGAACAGCAATGTCATTAATAGTCATATTAATATAGAAGCATCCTCAGGTAAGGTAGATTTAATTTGTTGAAATCATGATCCTTGGGGATAGGGTAAGGCCACATCAGGGGGTCGAATTTTAACATAGGAATATATAGGAAACATCTTTAGAAGTCTTCTTCTCGAGAACATCTAGGCCATTATTAGTCTTATTAATATAGATGCATTCTCAGGCAGGGTAGATTCAAGTTTGTTAAATGGTGTATCCTGATTTATTTGGACGAAGGGGCGGAGACTCATGCTTCGCACTCGTCACCGCCCTTAATAATAAATAATGTATAATAAATATACAATAACTATTACTTGTAAAGGGCTTAATTTCAGATAAATGTGTAAATTACTTGATTATCTCGGGTTGTACATAATCCTGTATTTTATATTCATTATCGGGAAATTAGTTATTTACCTAGAAAAATTGTCTATGGAAATATTTGTTTACATTGTATCAAAGATTATAATCATACATGTATCATTCTCTTATTAGGCAGATAATTGTAATTTATTACACGTATTGAAATCTGAACAGTATAACCGTTAAGACTATCTTGCTTTTCGTAAGACGACTGGTTCCTCAGTTGGAGCTACTATAAATACACATGTTTCATTTGTTAAAATTATACTTTTCTACGTTTAAATCAATTATCTATTTCAGACATTGGCAAATGTCAAATGGAATTTCTTATTGTACACCTACAAAAGTCTTCGTACCATTTTTCTTCCATTATAAGTATACCTACGCTAAACCTTTCATGTGAGTAGGATGATGCATTTTTAAAATAAAACAGATTTTATTTATTTTATCGAATATTCGAATATATTCGAATACTTTCATTGAATATTCGAATATGAATTATTGACAAAATTGACATCCCTAATAGAAATATAAAGGAAATGTCTTTAAAAATCTTATTTTCAAGAACAGATAAGCAATTATTAGTCATATTTATACATAAACAACCTTAGGTATTGTAGACTCAAGTTTGTTCAAATCATAACTCCCCGGGATATGCTGCGGCCACAACAGAGGATCGAAGTTTTGCATAAGAATATATAGCAAACATCTTGAAAAACTTTTTCTCAAGAGCACTTAAGCAATTATAAGTCATATAGATAAAGAAGCATCCTCAGGTAGTGTAGATTCAAGTTTCTTACAAACATGACTCAGGGGTAGAGTGGGGCTAAAATTGGCAATCAAATTTAACATAGGAAGGTTCTAGAACAGCAAAGCCATGATAATATATACATGAATTGATATGAAACATCCTCCTGAAGTGTAAATTCAAGTTCCCCCACACCCCTACCATCGTAAACGTTTCAATACTGAACAGATATCTGCATGTGCTTAGATGAGCGATGTGGCCCATGGGTCTCTTGTTTTATATATCATGGAAACGCGTTTCGTTTTAGAAGCTTAAATGCAATAGCAAGCCTATACATTTTTGTGGATCTCAGTATCAAGAGATAGCTGTAGAATTGATCAGCAGAAGCACGAATCCCCTCTATGGATCCAATTTTTTTCGGTTTAAAATTTTAAGTATTTTGTTAATGTTGACTGAAGTTGTGGATAGTGAAAACGAGAACGATAAAACATGTAAGTGTTAAAATTTATTTTAATTAATTATGCTGTTAATTAATAAAGTCTGTCATATCCATTGCTTTCTCGTATTGTTTATTCAATTTGTATACCCTTATTTCAGTGTTCTTTTCCAATTCCTTATGTTCCACATATCATTCAGTCTATGAGGGTGAAGAATATTATCTAACATGGAACGGAACATTACTTCCTATGTCTAAAGGGTGCAAGATAACTTTTTTCCCAAAGGATCCACTAAGCGTCTGTGTAGAAGTGGAATTTTTTCACCTAGAAGACTGTAGCGTTCACGTCAATTTTCATGGAAAAATAGAGAAGGCAACCAATATTTGTTTCATTTTTGTTCAGAAAAATGATTATTAAAAATAGAAATGATATTATTTTTGTGATCAATTTGTTTTAACGTTATTTCTGACTTGGTTCATTGTGTTATATTCCTCGTGGGAATTCGTTTCTTTTTAGACGTATAAATGCAGTGGAAAGCCTGACAATTTTTGTGGATCTCAGAATGAAGCTATAGATATAGAACTATTCAGTAGAAGCACGAATCCTCTCTATGGATCCAATTCTTTTCGGTTTAAAATCCATACACAAGTTCCAATTTCTGTTCTGGATTGTAAGTACACCAATTAATTGTTCTTTTCATCTACTTTTCTTCACCTATTCATAAAATGCAACTCCTTGCATTGGTGCTGAAACTATTTGTAGGTTTTTAAGAATAAACTCCATGATAAGAAAAGAATATCATTCAATTACATTTATGGTAATCATTAGTTTCTAACATAAAGTAAAACATGCTTTTTTCAGGAAGATCTGCTTATGATGATGTAGTACATGAAGCCAGTAATGAATATTTTACTGTCTTAATGAAACAAAGATAAATGAAGCAATTTCAACAAGTGTATTGATGTTTGCAATAATAATTGTAATATTATTCTCCATTGAACTGCAACAGACTGATTTGATTTTTACAATTGCAACACATTAAGCCAGAGTTTTACAATTTGAGCTGACAGTTTTATTTCCTTCTCATTCAAAGAGTGCGCATGGTTTGTTGCAGTCCTGTTTAGTATTTTTTTAGGAGAGACAAAGAGCTTACAAAGTGCCTTGAGAATCTGTTTTTCCTTATAGACGTGTGGATTAATGTCGGCCTTATATCTCTAATAGTCGTCATTGTGGGGATAAGTCTGGCTTACTTCGGCTTGAGTCGGCGAGCTAGAAAATCAGGAATAGTTTTTCGGAGGTCTGAAATTCCACATACTCGTATGGTCGATTCAGAAACTTTGGGTATTCTACATTTTTTATTTTATGGAAAGTATATTTATTTCATAATCTATTTGAGTCGTCTATGTTAAAGATTTTTTCGACTGTAGATTTAATAAATCAATAAGAATCTCTCACAATGACCCACAGCAATTCTCTGTTCTTGCTAAAACAGAAAGGAGTAAAATTCAATGATTCTGTGGCCTTGAATATGCTTGCTTTAGAATGAAGGAGGGATCAATTCTAGAATTCTTTTTTGCTAGATCAACCACAGATAAACTCTGACCCAGTACCTTGGAATCCTACAAATGAAGTACTGACCACAGATTTCACGATTCCGGATCCTCGTGCAGTGAATACAGAATAGAAGACGATAAATGATCCTTCTGAAGACGATTTTATTATAATAAAATACCTGAAATTATGTCTATGTTACATGTTAAGATATTTTAATATGATACCAATTAAGTTGATGTTACAGCTGCAGGGATTTCAACAATCCCGTTTAAAGTCAACTTTTTGCAAGTTCTCCTGTAGTTATAATGAACTTTTTGCAATACAATTACAGGGTTCTCCATCATTTCAAATTTAACTGTGGCGCAAGACAAACGCAAAGTGCTAATTTTCGCGGTCATTTCGCGATTGAATTCGCGAAGGAACCACGAAATGAGTTAAAAACACAAACAGTGATTCAGTAGTTTTAAACAAAAAGGACATTTATTATTTGGCAAATAATAATTTCAATAATAACTGTAAAATAAATAAATTAATCGATATCGATTAAACATAGTGCAAAACAAAAATTAGGATTGTCCAAAAAACATTTAGATATGTTTACTGTGAAAAAGACCCTCTCCACCCAACACATAAGTACTAATGAAGAAACAAATATTTGCTTATAGAATCTAAAATTAACAGTACCAGTAGTATCTTGTTTTAAGCATAAATGAAACATGTGGAGATAACGAAGCATTTAACTCTACAGTGTTTATTAAAGGACAGAGGAAATTCTGGTAGGTCACACACTCAGGCTTACATCAGATCTATGCATTTGTAATTATTGGTCTGAAGACTAAAGCATCTTTAAATTTGTAGTTTAAAAACACTTCTTAACAAGCAGTTTAGAGAAATAAGATAATATTTTCGTGGATGTATTGCTAATTTTTCAACATTACAAAAATACATACGACGATACACGTACGATGTTTTGACTCGCTTTGCCGATGGAATTTTGGAGACGCGGATATCTTTAGCATGTTTAGAACTACTGCATTAAAGCATGAATTAATTGATATTGAAAAAAAAAATCTTTTGTGATTATCGTGAAGTGTGAAAAAAATGGCTTGTCTCTTTTCATTCATGTGTCCAGTGAGGTATAGAAGATGATTGTGCAAACCAAACAATGGGCCCTAATTAGAGTAAATTAACAGTTTTACCATAAGAAACGAAACTGCATAACTTAGAGGTTCTTTTGATTTAAAAATTTATATATTTTTATCGTACTGACGACGAAAATCTTACTGTGGCGCTAATATTTGACAGTGGCGGAACTGTGGCGCTGGCTTTTTAACTGTGGCGCTACAGAATTTAACTGTGGCCGGGCCGCCACGTTAAACGGCCCATGGAGAACTCTGCAATTAGCCTACCGTTGGGTCCCGTTTTATACTATTTGTTAGATCATTTTTCCATGCAGTACTCTGTCTACCTGATTAATACATAGGGTTCATGGCAAATGTGACCGGTCGTCAGGGGATTCTTTCTCCTCCTAGGCACCTGATTCCATCTCTTCTTTTCTAAGGGGCCCGTTTTTCCTTTGTTCATGGTTTTATTTACTGGAAATATGAGGTACCTTTTACACATTGAGCTATGTTTATTATCCCCTTTGCAACGGAGTTGGAGGGAATATAGTAACGCGCTTGTATGTGTGTGTTTGTGTGTCTGTGTGTTAGTTTGTCCTTGTGCGAAGCGGAGGTGACGTAATTTGCATAGGGATCGATGTCTTGGTTTATACATGTAGATATGCTCTTTGCGAGGGGATGCTCCGCTCTGCGGTGCCCTAGCTTGTTATATATTTATATTACAATTTCAGCTTTCGAGTACACTACTCATTCATTATAAAATTTCACTGTGTTACTTTTTAATAATACATCGAGCTATGTATGTTTTGTACAAGGGCTGTACGAAAAATTCACGGACGGTGTCAATCTATTTCATAATCAAGCAAGATAAATATATTAACATATGTGAATATTTTTAATGTTGATGTTGATGTGCAGAGTTTTTTTTCCACATGATTAAATGGAACACAACCGTAAAACACCAATTTTTCTTTCCATTAAGTTAATTTGTTAACTACAGTGTATTACACCCCCTGCTCCATTTCCACAAATGAACAGCTCACGTTTAACGCATTTCTTTTTTTTTCCCAAGTGCAACAAAAAATTGATAGATGGCACTCCTTCATGGCACCTTATCCCACCTCGAATGCTTTTTAGAAGTTCGTATTTGCTCTGCTCCAAATGTATATATTGTTTCAATGGACGTCTTAGCTTGATGACTGTTCGTTAACTTCATATTTCATTGCTAGTCTCTGCTCCATGGATTCTATGACGTCATTCTACTTTTTTTTAATGCGGACTATCTGTTTTCTGAAATTGATTTTATTTCATCAAATCAAAATATTTAATCAAAATTTGGCATATAAAATAGTGTAACATTTCCTACTTTGAATATGTAGTTTTTTCGTTTTGTTCAATTTTTTAGAGAAATAACTACAAAAATCAAGTGCAGCGTTTGTAAAGTAATAAATTTTGACCTGCTCAATGATCCGAATTTCGCAGTTTAAAACTTTGATTAAGTTTGAAATATATCATGATATATTTAAAAATTTATTATTAAAACGTTACCAAAGTTGGATACAATATAATGTGAGTAAAAGATTTAGGATTAAAGTCCGCGAATTCTCCAAATAGCCCTCGTACATTGATCGTTGTTTATACTATACATTGAGCTATGTTTGTACGTATATTAGAATGTATATATGCTTATATTACACAATAAGGTGTTTTTGGTGAACATTGAATCTATATGTTGATATTATACATTAAGGTGTATTTATAATATACATTTTGCTGAGCTTATATTTTACACATTAAGATATATTATACACAGAGTTATAGCGCTATTGTCTCCAATAGCATAGTTATGTTTCTTCTGTTTCATAAACTGCCATTTAAATGTCCAGGCTTTACATCAGGTAGAAAAATGATTTCTTACTAAGATTTCCTAAAACAACACATCCTATTCTTTTATGAAAGGTTTTCGTGTACAGGGCTAAAATAATTACAACAATTAAAAGCCTCATTTTTAAAGATGTCCTGTTAACAAAACATTTTCCTATCATGATATTTTCTAATGAACAGTATCTTAAGATTATCTACATAAACATGCATACTTTATAATTATTTGGAGGTTTTGACACAACATTAAATTAAGTAATATAGGCATGTCCTCAACTTTGTATTTGTACTCTTGAAATATATTTTTAATAAATATTTTTTTTTATAAAAATGTTTTAAAGGGGCAAAAGGAAAGTGTTCGTGTTTGTTTTATTCAGAAGTTATGAACAATTTCTAAAACGAGGTAAATTATTGACAAACAAATTGATGAAACAAGAATATCAGCAGTCTCGTTTAAAGCCATCAGTTCGTAAGTTCTATGGTCGATATAATGACCTTGTCAGCAAATACAATCTTTCATTAAGTCAAATGCTGACTGACTTTTTTTCAAACTAATTGTTAGGCTATTATTTACACACTGAATTGTCGACAGATTTTCCCCTTATTTTCCCGATCATGACAAGGAACACAAGGCGGGTATGACCGGTCTCCATGGGATGCTCACTCCTCCATGGCACCTGATCCCACCTCTGATGTCTTAGAGGTCCGTCATTACTGGTGACATAAATATAGTGAGTAATGAGGGCTTATTTTAAAAGGGCCTAAAATAAGGGAACCCAATCCTTGAATTGGCGTAATAATTTGATAAATTTTATGAATTCTGTGGAAGAATACGCCAGGCGATGGGCCAAACATGAAAAAGAAGACCTTGACAGTTTGTCAGAATGGATTAAATGTATCAGAAAGATGTTAAAATGAAATATATATGGAGATAACGAACAGTATTCAAGCTCAAAAGTCCATAAAACAATACAAAATAGGAGCAGAGCAAACACGGACCTCCAAAACATCAGAGGTGGGATCAGGTGCCATGGAGGAGTAAGCATCCCGTGAAGACCAGTCACACCCACCGTGTGTTCCTTGTCTTGATCGGGAAATAACGGAAAAATCCGTCGACAATTCAGTGTGTAAATAATGGCCTAACAATTAGTATGAAAAACGTCAGTAAGCATTTGACTCAATGATAAATTGTATTTCCTGACAAGTTCATTGTATCGACCATAGAACTTACGAAATGATGACTTGAAACGAGACTACTGAAATTCTTGTTTCATCAACTTGTTTGTCAATAATTTACCTCATTTTAGAAATTGTACATACGTAGAGCATGCTGTTGCGTATCGAATCAACTGAGAGATATAAACCCCGTATGCAGGTGATGAAGGTATATTGCTGCATAAGTAAGGAAAGTTGACGATTGAAACGTTAAAGTCATCACGTTTATCATAAAGTTTGGTTGTTAGATTACCATTAACGTCTTTTTCAATTCAAATATCAAAATATAAAACAGATGTGTCAGACTGAAAAAACTCTCATTAAGTGCTTGAGAGGCAATAGGAAAACGATCTATCCTTCTGTCTTCAATAGATAAGAGGTGAAAAAAGAATTAGATAAACTATACCATCAATATCTACTGGTCCCAGCTGACAAAAAAGGTAACAGCATTCGCTTTGTTTCTAAGGCTCATTATTTGTACTGTATTTTAGAAGAGCTGAGGTTTAATTCTGCAAGAGTTTATCCATTGCTCTAGCTCCCTTTCTAAGGAGGAAATTCTACAAACTCATATGTCAGTTTTAAATATTTTTAATATTCCCAACAAACAAATTGATTTTGAATTACCATCCTATACTGGATTCCTAAGCTACATAAAATCCTTACAAAAAAAGACACAGAGCGGGTTCCACTAAATGTTCTACCAAGCCTTTCTTTACCCCTCACTAAAATATTGACAGCAGGGAAGAAGAAACTTCAGGAGTATTGTATAATATATTCAAAGGTGGTGTAAATCAGATGTGGATACTTAAAAATTCCAAGGAACTTTTGGAAAATTTGAAATTACAAAATCTTAACAAAATTGATAATATCAAAATGAACGATTTTTCAACACTTTATACAACTACTCCCTACAATAAATAAAAATCCAGGTTTTTTTATATCAACTCCGAAGTTGATATGAAAAAAGATTTTCAGTTTCTGATTGATAATATCTGTGTAGTTTTGGCCTTAAATTCAACACATAGATATATCGACCATGTTTTATCAAATAACAATACTTATTTCATCCCTACTTTGATTCGATATACATGTTTCCCTCGGGACTTGAAAAAAATGATACCAAAGATCTGACAAGTTTGTTTCATATTTGGATATTTTACTAGACAAAAAAAATAAAATTAAAAAAATAAAAAGATAAAAAAGATTATTAACGGCAATTTTTTGTATAACGTGATGACTTCAACTCTACTATCGTGAACGTTCCGTATTTATGTAGCAAAATTATTATTTTTGTCACATGTATATGGACATTATATCTTCCAGTTGATTTGTTACGCAAAAGCTTGCTCTACGTACGAACAATTTCCAAAACGAAGCAAGCTATTGACAAATAAGTTATTGATAGAGGGATATCAAGAGTTTCGTTTAAAGTCAACATTTCGTAAAATCTGAGGTCGACATAATGACCTTTTTACCAAATACAATCATTAAGTCGAATGCTGAATGACGTTTTTTCATACAAATTGCAAAGCCGTTATTTACACACTGAATTTTCTACAGATTTTTCCGTTTGCTCTACGGATCTGACAGGTCGAAAGGGATGAATGCTCTTCCATGGTACCAGATTCCAACTCTTATGTTTTTAGAGGTCCGTGTTTGCCCTGCTCCAAATTCATATTGTTTCAATAGAATTTAGAGCTTGATTACTGTTCTTTACCTCCATATTTCATGAATTCGTAGTACATATTGTCATCGTTGCACCTAATTAAGTTTCTTATTTATGAAATGCTACTTTTTTTTATTTTAAAAAGCAATGACTTGAAATAAATTTTCAATTGCTTGCTTGTTTTAATTCAAATAGTCAATCACCCTGTTCAAAGTTAATTACGTGTTTAAAATTTTGGTATCAATTTGGGGTCTGCTTTATGTAGTTTATCAAATAATTGTTATAATGTTTAAAAGTTTAAAATGAAACTTCAAAAAGAATTTATGTCTACAATTATTAGATTCTGAAAAGGATATTGTTAGAATGAAAAAAGTAAAAGAATTTATTAACCTACAATAAAGCTTTGGATTAAAATAAATATAATCCATTAAAACAATACTTTATTGCTTTTATCACAGATATTAAAACTTGTAAGATTAAGACTAAATACCCTGATATATATTGGATTTTGGAATCCTTTTTCATAAAATTAGTAACAAATATTAATGCACAAAATAAAGGAGAAAGTTAATTTGTCTTTCCCATCTTTTTGATTACTTAGATAACCTTTCTTGTTTGCTTCAAAGAAGAAAGACATTTCTGTTCTGTACCTCCTAAGAATACCAGCTGGGACTAATTATGTCAACAGTTACTTTAAAGAGAGGAAATGAATTCATTAAATTATATTGTGTTAAATATTTCAGATTATGTGTAGATATAATTTTAAAAAAGATAGAGGCAACAATACAGTTATCGTCTTATTTTAAAAACGACAGAAATTCTAAAATTATGATGTTCATGATTACTATATTTTCTTGTCTAATTAAGCGATACTTATCTTCTTTGTATTTCAGTGTCTTTGTACTTTAAGTGATTACATAAAAAAGCATTCAGCACACATTGTGTTATTCAACAGGTTTGTATTTTATGTATCGAGGAATTTCGCATTATACCACACTAGCGGAAAAATCAGTCACGCGAAGCTTTGTTTACATTGCAATTGAGAGGTCGTAGCCATTTTTCTTTACAAACGAAAATTTAATTAATATCCCGTGGACGACTTTATAAACTGTGGAGAGAATTTCTATAGGTGAGTACTGTCTAGGCTAAATACTGTTTTTGTAGAAATAAAGTCGGTTTTCATTACAGACACCATTACTGTTAATATCTCACACTGTGTGTATACCAGGAAGTTTTTGTTTTTCATTTGAAATCATAGTTTATAAATAGTTTTTGTCATTGTTTATAGAACAAAAAATGTTACACTTGAAATCTCAACACGGACCTTTATAAATTACATGCTCAATATCCGTTGTTCATAATTATGAAAGCGAAATAATTCAAAACAAATCGGAAAGGAAAATCAGGGTACAAGTCATTTTTAATATACAGTTCATCGGACCCTTCAGATGTAAATAACAGTCAAATGAATGAAAATTAAAATTTTAGTGGTATGTTGTGTACACAATCATATCATAATTCAATAATGCAATTGTTATTGTCAAACAAATAATTTAAATACCTAATGAATTTTATTTTGCATAGGAATTAGATAATGATGATGGTTTGGATTTGGGTTTCATGTATTGTTTTATGGTTTGTCCATGCTGAAAGCTTTACGGGTACTTCTAGTAAGTACATGCTACATGTATATATATGTAATCGTTCTGAGAATAGAGTGAAATATCATAATGACCTCATTCTTTCTAGATTCATTATATATTTTTTATTGTATTTCAGTTTCCTTCTCGGATTTAACATGCGATTTGGGTTCTACATTTTATACCGTTTACTCCAATGATGATTATCACCTCTCCTGGGACGGTTCCTTCCTATCAAAAACTGGAGGATGCAAGATAACTTTCGATCCAATGGAGGCGTTAAGTAAAGTGTGTGTGGAAGTGGAAACTTTTGACGTACGAGACTGCAGTGTGAATGTTTTTTACATCGATGAAGGCGATTTGAAGAGGGTAACATAAAAGCTATATCATCTCACTGAAAAACTCCAGAATAGTAGAGCTATAAAAATCTGTAATTGTTTTTTAAAGGTCTTGTTCTTTAAATTACTTCATTATTTATTTTTAAAAATATTTGCTCTTATTTTCTTCAGACATATGGATGTGGTCAAACTCCAAAGAAATTTTGTGGATCGCAAAATGCGGATGTCGATGTAGAACTATCCGTTCCTCGGACCCTCAGTAGTTCAACAAACTCATTTCGGCTGAGAATCTATGCATATAAACAATATGAACCTAAACAACAAGACTGTAAGTGGCTTAATTTCTATAATTTTCATTTTGATTGATAGTCTATGTATACAAGATACAAGATTTATTAGTCCAATTTGGGCCCCCGGAGGAGCAAAAAAGATTTACAAACATGAAACAAAGAAGGAGGAAGATCCAAATGATAGAACAAATATGATCTGTATATAATTAATAAAAACTTAAAGAACTCGGCAACTATACTTGTAAGTATCGTATTTAAATATGCCGACTCCCATTTAATTAGAGAATTATAAAAATGTTCTCTGAAATTGATTTCCATGACAAAAGAAAACTTCATATCTCTAAGGACGGTAATTAATGATTTTCATAATAATATGTTGACGGTGCGACCGTTAGGGCGTGCGCAGATACCTATATTCAGTTTTATTTTGATCGCGCTCTTCAAATCGCACTTGACATTTAGTACGTCTAGAATCTGACGTCATATGACGTCGCTTGCAAGTTGCATTACCAAAACGAAGTCTGAACAGTGCTAATTTTAATAAAGAAGGTTTTATCTACTATTTATCTGCTATACATCCATCAAATCAAGGTGAGTTAATTTTTTTTCTTCAAACTTCTCGTTACTGCGAAAACGTTGTTTGCGGCGAGATGCAATTCGCAAAGCATTATGGGACCACAGGTAACTGCGGAAAAAAATTCGTTTGGATCAATGTGCAAAGTCCGAATTTTCTCTTCGCCCAGGCGGTACTTTAAGAGCTCGCAGTGACGAGCGGCGCTTCGCGCCGCTCGCTGCGCACGCTATTATCATTTGTTGAAAGGTCTAAGACACAGTCTTTGACAGTAATAAAGCGTAAAGTTAAAAAATAATCATAATGCATAATCATAATGAATATATTCTTTATCATATTTTGCCACCATGGATATTTATATCAATTAAACCCTTCCTTACTGAGAATGATAAAATGCATTTAATGTACGAAAGGGTTTTGCTAATTTTTTTTTTAAATAAATGAATCAATAAATCAGTCCAATATCTTATCAGTACCCAAATCTAGGATGAGATATAAACATCGACTAAAAATCAAGCCCATATAACACTCTAAATTATGAATTTTATAAAGGCCTTGTCTGCAGATACAATCTATAAAGAGGTCGAATATTGACTGGCGTATTTGAAACAAAGTATT